GCTGAAGTCGGATGCTTAACCGACTGCGCCACTCAGGCGCCCCTAAAATGCTTTTTAAAATGGCACTTTACCTATGCAGAGCTCAGGAAAAATCTTTGTATAAACCATTAATACAGAAATAGTAATTTAAAAAGTCAGTTTAGATTGATAAACTTGGAACTATGCTTTTTCTTTGATAGTTATGAACAGAAACTAAAAGTGTAACTTATCTTTAAATTTGAGAATATAGAAAATATGTAGAATTTCTGCCATTTTTTTCCTCCAATTTCCTCCTTTCCTTTAGGAATAAATTAAAATGAACTGTTAGGGGGCGCCTGGGTGGCGCAGTCGGTTAAGCGTCCGAGTTCAGCCAGGTCACGATCTCGCGGTCCGTGAGTTCGAGCCCCGCGTCGGGCTCTGGGCTGATGGCTCAGAGCCTGGAGCCTGTTTCCGATTCTGTGTCTCCCTCTCTCTCTGCCCCTCCCCCGTTCATGCTCTGTCTCTCTCTGTCCCAAAAATAAATAAACGTTAAAAAAAAAAAAAGAAAAAAATCTTTAAAAAAAAAAATAAAATAAAATAAAATGAACTGTTAGGAAGAAAAGGTATCTTGCTTTCTTGTACAGAATTACCTCTCATTAAACCATTGGGAGAAAAGACTGAGTTTATAAAAGTTCACATTTATTGAGTTCTTTAGATATGCCAGGCCACTGTTCTAAGCACTTTATATGTATTAATTTTTTTTTATTCACCACAGTCCTCTTGAGGTACATGTTATTGCTTTTTCTATGGTTTTACCAACTTAACATTTATCATGATCATTTTAGCAATAAAGAAACTGATGGGAATGCAAGCTGGTGCAGCCACTCTGGAAAACAGTATGGAGGTTCCTCAAAAAACTAAAAATAGAATTACCCTATGACCCAGCAATTGCGCTACTAGGCATTTATCCAAGGGATACAGGTGTGCAGTTTCAAAGGGACACGTGCACCCCATGTTTATAGCAGCACTATCAACAATAGCCAAAGTATGAAAAGAGCCCAAATGTTCATCAATGGATGAATGGATAAAGAAGATGTGAGATATACACACACACACACACACACACACACACACACACACACACACACACATACACACAATGGAGTATTACTCGGCAGTCAAAAAGAATGAAATATTGCCATTTACGACTATGTGGATGGAACTGGAGGGTATTATGCTAAGTGAAATTAGAGAAAGACAAAAATTGTATGACTTCACTCATGAGGATTTTAAGAGACAAAACAGATGAACATAAGGGAAACAAAAATAATATAAAAACAGGGAGGGGGACAAAACAGAAGAGACTCATAAATATGGAGAACAAACTGAGGGTTACAGGAGGGGTTGTGGGAGGGGGGATGGGCTAAATGGGTAGGGGGCACTAAAGAATCTACTCCTGAAATATTGTTGCACTATATGCTAACTAATTTGGATGAAAACTTAAAAAAATAAAAAGTAAAACAAGTTAAAATAAAAAAAAAAAAGAAATTGAGGCATAGAGCACTAGAGTAAGTTAATGAAAGTTACACAGCTAGTGAACAGTGAAACCAGTATTTAAAACCAGGCTGTACAACTCACTCTTAATCACTACACCAAATTTCAAATCTACCTTCTAAAAATTAGATTTAAACAAAAGTTTATCTTTAGTTATATTAACTTCTTAATATATTTTTTTAAGTTTTTACTTATTTTGAGAGAGAGCCCTGCAAGTGTGTGGGCATACAGCACTTGAACAGGGAAGGGGCAGAGAGGGAGAAAGAGAATCCCAAGCAGGATATGCACTGCCATCACAGAGCTAGACTTCAGGCTTGATTCCATGAGAAATGTGAGATCATGACCTGAACCGAAATCGAGTGTCAGATGCTCAACATACTGAGCAACCCAGGGGCCCCTATCCTGCTTCCTCTTAATAAATGTGTATCCCTGCAGACTTAATTTAACTTCTCTGAGCCTCCTTGTCTGTAAAATGAGAATTGAGGAATCAAGGAATCTCTCATAATGAGTTAGAATGATTAATTTAGAAGCATATAAAATGCAAAGCCTAGTTTATGGCAAACATTAGACTGTACTTGCTTTTCTTCTAACTGCAAACTCACAATTTAGTTTTAATGCAATGAGTAAACAAAGTGCTGCAGTAGAATAATAGAATGGAAGAGGGAAACACACAAGATACGAACAAAGAGAAGTGAGATGTAAGAGAGCATATATAGCCTTTTGTTAAACTCTAAACTTGTAACAAGTTATTTTCTTCCTTTCTGGCTTCCTATGGTCAGATCTTTTATTATCATATCTTCTAATTATCTAAGAAGAATGAGGCCTTAGTAAGAGGCATACATACACGACACATATGTACAAAGACATACTATACTTTTTTTTTTTTTTTTTTTTTTTTTTTTTTTTTTTTGAGAGAAAGAGGAAGAGACTGAGTACAAGCAGGGGAGGGGCAGAATCTTAAGCAGGCTCCATGCTGCCAGTGCAGAGCCTGATGAGGGGCTCGTTCTCATGACTGTGAGATCATAAGAGCTGGATGCTTAATTGACTGAGCCACCCAGGCATCACTGTACTTGTTTTTTTAAGCAAAGGAACAGTGGACAAATATGATATAGCCAACAGCTAAAAAAAAAACTATAGCCTAAAAACTATAAAAAAAAAACCCAAAACTATATACCTAAACAGTAACTTAAAATGGAAAGGTTGTGCTAAGTAGAAAAACAGGTTTAAAATTCCACAACAGACTGAATTCAACACCTAGGGCACATTCATCCTATTTAACCAAAGCAAAGAAAGAAATTAGTTAGGATTAATACAATATGCCTAAAAAAAGGGAAAAAAGTTAAAGGAAGACATTTTAGTTTATACTAGGCCACTCTCAAAGACTGCTTAAAATGTTCATATGGAATCATTTAATACTAATGTTTAGTATCATCAAATGTGCTAAATTTCCCTGCCTTGCAGATAGCACATTGATATTATTCAGCCCAAGAAACTCAACTAAGGGATTACTACTTACGTGTGAACTCCATCTGATTTTCTTTGTTCAAAAACTAAGGTTCTTCCTTGTGGAGAGGCAAGATGGAAATCAATATCTAATCCCGCTCCATCTAAGACCTGTAGAAAAGCACAAAAGGGAAGAACACATTATAAATAGAATAAAAAATATATGAAGTAGATCATGTGACGAAATGATTTTCTTTCTAAACCTAGAGAGGTAGGAAAGTCAACAAGATGCATGTAAGGGCTAGGAAAGAGCAGAAAGACCATCCATTCAATTCCATTCATTTTTGGAACTTTCTTACCAATTCATGTTGCCAGCATCTAAATTTAGGCCTTATAAATATTACTGAAATAATCTTCCTAAAATGGTGCCTTGGTTGAGAGGCCCTGTAGAGTGGAAAGAAACACGAAGGGAGTTCAAATGATAGACCTTACCTAGGTAATTTAGGGCACACTTATGTAACTTTTCTGTTTATCTTCAATAAAATAATAATTAGCTATTTCTTAGCACAGAACTCAAAACTTCCATGATCTGACCCCAACTGACTTCAGTGTATTCACCTATTATTCCCCAATATGAACTGAATATTCCAACTAGGTTGTTTGTTTACTGGCCAAAGAACACAATCTGTTCCTTTACAATCCCAAAATGTCCTGATGATGATGATAGCTAACAATTAGAGTGTATGCCACACATTGTTTTAAGGGCTTCATGTGGTTTAATTTCCTCACAACAATTCTAAGAAGCAGGTCTTATTATTATCATCAAGACATAAATAGAAGAAACAATCAACCCAACAAACAGAAAACAAACAAACAAAAAAGTGAGGCATACAGAAATAATTTCCCCAAGGTGATACAGCAAATGAATGGCATGGTCAAAACTTGAACTCAGCAATCCGCCTCCAATAGCTAATCTTTTTCTTATTTCACTCTATTTTGTTTATTATTTTTTCTGGTGGCTTTAATGGAATGATATAAAAAATTACCTATTCCTGTGCTCTACTTACTGATCAACAGTAGTAGTTTCAAATGGCTAGCTAAATATACAGAATTCTTTTTCTTCTTTACATCCCAATAAAATGAAGAATATATATAATGATATAAATATTCCATAACAACACTAGAAACCAATAGCTATCAATCTCAACATTCTCACTGAAACAGACTAGAGACATTTGTTGAAATCAGTGCCCCACGGAGGACCTGGGTGGCTCAGTCAGTTAAGCATCTGACTCGATTTCAGCTTAGGTCATGATCTCCCAGTTGGTGGGTTTGAGCTCCGCATCAGGCTCTGTGTTGACAGCACGGGATTCTTTCTCCCTCTCTCTGCCCCTCCCCATCTTGCACTCTCAATCTCTCTCTCTCAAAATAAATAAACTTAAAAAAAAAAAAAAAAATCAATGCCCCATTTTTCATGTTATTGGTTTTTCTGAGAGGATTAAGTTCTGAAAAAATAGTTAATATAAACAGACTTTAAAATGTTTCCTCAGATGAATATACATCCTCAGAGAAATTCAGGAATGTGTAACCCATAAAAAATGAGGTTCCTAGTATGAAAAATAAGCTCTCAAAAAGATTAAAAAATGTTGCCAAAATTTATTTAACAAATGCTATGATAGCAGAATAAATATGGATAGAGACTAAAAATCAGCAAACTGGAAGGAACCAAGGAATTCTCAGAACAAGGTGAAAAAATAGAGATGAAAAGTATGAGGGAAATTTTAAGATCATTCATGAAGGACAGAGCTAAAGATTTCAAATATCTAACAAGCATTTCAAAGAAGACAACCAAGAGAAATGAAGGGAGGAAATCATTAAATAAGAGAACAAAAATTTTTGCTTCAAAAGATAAAAATCTTTGTAGACTGGAAGGGACTAATAGAGGTGAAGCAGGATAAATGAAAAAAAGAGTAAAAATCCTACTGACTTTCCCAAAGGATTTAAAAAGAACAACCTAGAAACTTCCAATGATAAGTAGTAGAGAACTGCAAAATAACAAGAACTGGGGGATGGGGGCACCTGGATGGCTCATTCCATTAAGCGTCTAACTCTTGATTTCTACTCAGGTCATGATCTCATGGTTGTGAGACTGAGCCCCTCGTCAACACAGAGGCTGCCTGGGATTCTCTCTGTCTGACCCTCTCACACTTGTTCTCTCATGCTAACTCTCTCTCTCAAAAATAAATAAACTTTAAAATTGAGATTGGCATCAGAATTCTTATCTATAATACTAGATGCAAAAAACCATAATGAAGCCATGTCTTGAATGATCCCAATTAAAACAAAAAATATTTGGTAAAGTGAAAGCAAAAAGTAAGTACATTTTTAGATGTCCAAGGACTTAAAGTATTTTCAAAGAATTATTCTCTAAAAAACTAAAAAAAGATACCCATTAAATCAGAAAATAAGAGATCTAACAAAACTAAACAAAGATTTCAGTAAAACAAAGTTTAAAAGAGATTATTGGTAGTGACTGTCAGGCTTAATGAAATTGTTTAAAATGATATTTAAGAATACAGAATATACTTAAAAATACATAAAATACAATTTTAAGATGTAAAATATTTATTTAAAAAAATCATAATCTGAAACTAAACTTCCTGATGATTTCACTGAAAGATTAGTGCCACTTTCCTTAGTCTGTGCTGTTGCTTTAACAGTCGTTCGGTTCCTGTAAGGCTTTCTTCTGTCTTCTTCCTCAATACGTGGCACATGTATTCTTTTTACCAATCGCCTTGTTCCGCTCACTCCTTTTATGCCTAATAAAACTGATTTTTCTATAGATCTGAACTCTACTTCTAAAATGTCTTCTCTGGAGGAACCGGGGTGGCTCAGTTGGTTAAGCATCCGACTTCAGCTCAGGCCATGCTCTCACGGTTTGTGGGTTGGAGCCCTGCGTTGAAGCCCCGGGTGGGACTCTGTGCTGACAGCTCAGAGCCTGGAGCCCTGTTTGGATTCTGTGTCTCATTCTCTCTCTGCCCCTCCTCAACTTGCGCGCGCGCACTCTCTCTCTCTCTCTCAAAAAAAAAAAAGATAAAGAAAAAAAAAGAAAAAACTGGAATGTCTTCTCTCAATTTCCAGATGAAATTAAGTCTTCCCATTAAATACTCTCATAGCTGTATATACTTACCTTCATTAGAGTTACAATTTACACTTATGTAACAATTTGATTCCTGTTTCCACACTAGATTGTATGAGTATGAGAACATGCACTATTTTTTTACTCATCATTGTATCCATAGCGCTTAGCATAGTGCTCACACAAATTAAGCACTCAGCAATGATTTAAAAAGTTAAATGAATGATCTATTTTAGTCATAAGATATGTGTATTGACATTTAAAAATTTTAAGAACTGGGGTGTCCTTGGGGCGCCTGGGTGGCTCAGTCGGTTAAGCCGCCAACGTTGGCTCAGGCCATGATTTCACAGTTTGTGAGTTTGAGGCCCGTGTTGGGTTCTGTGCTGACAGCTCAGAGCCTGGAGCCTGCTTTGGATTCTGTGCCTCCCTTTTTCTCTGACCGTCCCCTGCTCACACTCTGTGTCTCTCTCTCTCTCTCAAAAATAAATAAACATAAAAATTTTCTTTTTTTTTTTTTTTAAAGAACTGGGGTGTCCTGGGTGGCTTATTCAGTTAAGCATCTGACTTTGGCTGGGGTCATGATCTCACGGTTTGTGGGTTTGAGCCCCTTGTTGGGCTCCGTGCTGACAGTGAAGAGCCTGCTTGGGATTCTCTCTCTCCCCCTCTCACACTGGTACTTTATATAAAATAAATAAGCTTTAAAAAATCATTAAAAAGTTTTTGGGGCGCCTGGGTGGCGCAGTCGGTTAAGCGTCCGGCTTCAGCCAGGTCACGATCTCGCAGTCCGTGAGTTCGAGCCCTGTGTCAGGCTCTGGGCTGATGGCTCGGAGCCTGGAGCCTGTTTCCGATTCTGTGTCTCCCTCTCTCTCTGCCCCTCCCCCGTTCATGCTCTGTCTCTCTCTGTCCCAAAAAAATAAACGTTGAAAAAAAAAATTAAAAAAAAAAAAGTTTTTAAGAACTTAATAATATAATGTGGGTGTGGTCAATTATTTTAGAAGTATCCTCTTAACCTTGAAAAGTAAGAAATGGTTAAAATTTTTCAATATGTCACAGTAACCCAAAGGTAATGTCTGCAATGTCTGTTCTCTGATATTTTAAAAATGAAAACAAAAAGCAGTAGCTTATTGTTATTGGAAAATTAATCATGGAGTTGGAAAATGCACACAAAAAGTTGAAGATTATCCCTTACCCTAGAAAGTCCTCCAACACTGTCTAGGACTACAGACATTAAATGATTTTCCTCCCCCCCTACCCAAGAACAACTATATTGTTTAGGGGGAATGCAGTGGGGGAACAGTCCCTTTAAGAGTGACTAAAGATGGAAAGTGTAAAGCTAAATGAAGCTAGCTATTTAACTCAAGAAGTGTAAATGTAGAAAAAAACTAACATTCAGTGCCTATTTACTATGTGTCAGGAATGACCTATGAACAATTATTTACTCATTTTTTCAAATCAACTCTATGAGGTAATTACTATTATCTCTATTTTACAAGTGAGAGGTTAAGTAACTTGTTCAAAATCACATAGGTACTAAGTGACAGAGTTAAGATTTCAAACCAGGCATTTTATCTCTAGAAGTCTTATATGATAATCACAAGAGGTCAGTAGTTAATATACATTTCCTCCCTAATACCTGTATTAATACTAAGGAATTTTTGAATAAGACAAATTGTTTTCTTACCTGGATTATTTCACTAACCCCCCGTTGGTTTCCTTGCCTCTAATTTTGCCCTCCTTAAATCCATCTTCCACACTGTACCCAGTGACCTATCTGAAAAACAGTTTTGACTGTTACCATGCTGCTTGTATCTTCAATGGCCCTTGTACAGAACAAGGGCAAAGCCATGCAGTATGGCTTCATGGCCCACGTTGGGTTAAGATTCATGATCCTGATCCATCCAGCCTTCTGAGACCTCCAATCTCTTTTACTTCTACTCGCACCCTAGACTTTACAGTTTTAAAGTCTAATAAAGACCCAGCATTTGTGTCCACATACTGCCCACCAACAAAACATACTATACATATACTATTCGTTTTGTTCCTTTTCCTGAAATTGCCCCTCCTTCCTTGCATTCTTGTCTCACTTAAGCATCTTTTTAGATTCAAATTTATTTTCTCCAGAATTCTTTTCTGAAACCCCAGAGAAGTGGCTCTTCTCTACAGCACTTAACAATACTTTATTGAAATTACCTATTTATTGGCCAGTGTCCCTTAAATAATAAGATCCCTGAAAACAGGAACTTTTTTTTTTTTGTCCGTGTCATCGTGGGTCTTCTCGTCCACACTCTTCCCACATCCCCCCACCCCCAACCCTCGCCAATTACTGGCATATGGTAAATGAACTTTTGAACCACACTGGTAATCAATAGATGTTGCGTTCTAGTCTCAGTTTTGCTCACTATGTAACCTTAGATACTGCGCTATTGCTTTCCTTAAGTATCTATAATTTAATTCTAAAGTTCCTTCCGATATAAATTCTACATAACTTTTTATTTTGCTCTATACGTGACAGTAACTGTTGTTGAAAAGATTCTTTACATCAACTTAAAAAAATTAACATCTTATTATAAATTAAGTAATTTGTGAAAAATTAAAAGGCGAACCACACCAATGCATCTTTTTTTGCAGTGCTATCTAGAAACATCAAAATTAGCTGTGTTGAACTAACAAGATTTCTTCTAAGAAATTATCCTCTACCACGATGACTACATCAATTAAGGCAAATCCCTACATATTATTATGCAGACACTAAAAAGAAAACAATGGGAGAAATGCTTACAATACTGAACGAAAGGTTATAAAGTTTTAATATACAATTAGATACTACCTGGCTTAAAAATAAATATCTGAGAAGGAAATGTACCCTTAAATACATCAATAGCTCCTTTCAAAATATTCCAAAATCGGATTTAGTGATAATCACATGTTCACAATTCAAAAATCCTTAGCTGAAGCAATGACAGTGAACATTTATAATACCGGAATTGGGTGAGCGTGGTGGGGGTAACAAAACAAGTGTCATCATCTGCAATGATGAAGAAGAACGTGTTATCAGTCCTGTATTGCGAAATTCCCAGTATCGGAGCATGTGCTGGTTAGCAAGGCGATGGGTGAATTATGAAACAAAGAGGGAAACCACCGAGATCACCAGTGTTGGCCTCTTTCCGACCAGAGGAAAGGGGAGAAGGCGGGTAGTGAATTCCAGGTCCCGCCTAACTTCTCGGTCCCCGGCCCCAGGAGAACGAAGCCTCGTGCGCCTGCGCCGAGCTGGCAGGCCACCCAGGCGGCCCTCCCCTGTTCACCACCCCGGCAGTCCACAAGAAGTTTCTAAGAGGGTGAGAGGCTAAGACGGTGTAGCTAGGATAAAGGAGGCTGGCTCACTCTCCGCACTTACTTGGTACTCAATCTCCAGCGAGGCCTTCAGGGGCATGGGCTGGTAGAAACACTCCTTCTGGCCGGCCGGAAGGGTAAACGTGAAGTCGCTGTCTAAGGAGGGAGTGAAGGCGGCAGCCACCGGCAGCAGCACTGGGTACGGAATGGCCAGGAGGAGCACCGGGAAGGGCAGCCAGATCTTGACGCCCATCCCTGCCGGGGCGATCTTGGGTTAGAAGAGACGCGGGAGGTGTGCGTGACTGGCACCTAGGCTCCGCTTTTCCTCCCTGGACTCCTCGTGGTTGGCAGGGAAACCTGAAGCCTGAAGCCTGAAGCAACCCCAGGTGGTGGCCACGACGGCGGCACAGGATCCCTCAGAGCGGGAAACACCGGCCTCCAAAGGGTAGGGACCGAGGGGCGGGGCCAGCAGTCCTTTTCCGCACCCGCCTCGGCCTCGGCCCCCTCAAGCCCGGCGTGAGCGCGCCCCGCCTCACACTCGGGAGGCAGGTTCCCATGGCTTCCCCCACACCAATGGGCGTCGTAGGAGTAATTGTGGGAAATGTAGTTCGGAGCGAGCGGGCTTGGATGCGCTCGCTGATCACTATCCCCGACCGACCCCGCGTCGTGGCGTCACCTCACGCAGAGCCTGCGCAGGGGGCGGGTCTGAGGCCCGGGAGGCGTGTCCCCAACGGCTCCCGCGGCGGTTCGAACTCCGTGAGGCTGTGGTTCGTTTGTTCACCGCGTCAAGTGTTTGATGCTTCCACGCCCCGAGCTCTGTAGAGAGTCGTAGGCTTCCGAACGCGGATGAGAGCGCGGTGTGCGCTGTTGTCAGGTGGGTCCGTCTCCCAACTACGGCTTGGGTGGTGACTGCTCCTTGGAGGGTAGAAACAGGCCTACCTGGAGTTACGTTCCTTTCCCTCCCAGCACCCTCGAAAGCGCTTCGTTTTCACCCTTACTGCGCTGGCTGCTCTGCAGGGTTGTGTTTTACTTGAGAAATCGGGGAGGAAGAGGTTATGTTTTTCTCTGCTGCTTCCAGATGAATGTAGGATTAATTCTGTCAAATTGAGAGTAGTTGATAACAGGACAATACAACATAAATCTCTGATCTTGCCAAATGAGGAATCTTTTAAGACTACAACCCATCCTATTACTTGCAAGGTTTATAAAGAACACTTTGTTCTTCGGTGTTGATGGGTATGCGTGCGTAAAGCTACAAACACGTTATTAGGGCCAAAAATACTTTGCCACGTGTGTGAGAATAGACTTTTATAACTACTGTAAGTTGGAGGGAAGAAAAAAAATCTTTGACAGTAAATGCTCTAATAAGAAAAAAAGTTAAAAAGCAAATATATTCGTTGGTATTGAAGTGTTAGGGAATTGTTACATTAAAATACACAGATGTTGGACCCAAAACCTGATTTAGTTGAAACGTAATATTGAATGGCATTTTAGAATTTACCCAAATTGTCTGTACCCTTTTTTCCTTCACCATCCTGTAGGAGGCTAGAGATGTTGAAAAGATAGAGCAGAATGGGGACCTGATCCACTGACTTTTGTATGGGAGAGTCTTCTCACTTAAGCAGAAACAAATTTGTGCAAACGAAAGGGGAAAAAAGAAACATTTTCTCTCTGATGACATAGCGTCTCATTTAATTTCGTGCCACAGTTTCTTACAATAAGGTGAGGGTTTTCTTTTTAATCTTCCTCCTTACATCTGAGAAATTTTGAGTGGGAAGTAAATTTACCAAACTATTTTGGCTCAATGAAAGGAAAGAAGGGCAATTAGGGAGTCATCATTTATTCACCGAACATACTGAACTTCTGCAAGTGCCTTACAGTCCTGAACATAATACACAGGACTCCTAACCTTTTGGAGCTTGGGATGTGGTCAGAATTCTAGAAGGGTAATGAGAGAGAGATGCTACAATGACAAAGGTAAATGGGATTTGAAAGAAGAATGTAATTTTAAGATGCAGAAAGATCTAGAGGAGTAGTAAAGATTTTAAAGCCTTAGTTTTTATTATATTAGTTACTAATATATACTTTGAAGCAATGATTTTATGTATTAATTATTAATAACAAAATGTGGCCTTTAGTTATGATTTTTTATTTGCAAAGGTTATTTAGTAGAGAATTTCACAACTCCAGAGATCGTCATCAGTTGAAGAAAGAAAAGCTTTTCTTCATGTATTTCTATGAGTTAACTTGCTAAATGCCATTTTGATCCTTATGGTTGTGATGTGACTGTGTGTGTTTTTTAAACCTTATAACCATTTTAAATAGGAGAAGGAGTTAAACTTTACTTGGTAATAAATTGCTTTTAAGAAAATATGAATGATTATAATGATACCATTTTTATCAGGTTTTCGGACCTTGTAACTTGAGCATGTAAGTTCAAACAGCTCATATTGAAATTGATTTATAATAAGTTAGAAATTGCAGTGCAACATAATTAAAAGGTCTTTGGATCCTGATGACTTCAGTTCAAATCTTGTTTCTACCATTGACAGTTTGTATGACCTTGAGTAAATTATTTAATTTGTCATATTCTTAGTTCATCTTTGACGTAGAATAAAAGTACTTAATGCACACAATTGTTAGAAAGATTAAATGTGCTTGGAGAAGGGGGACTAGAATAACTAGACTCTATATAATAAAAAATTGATTCACTGATATTCTATTGAACTTTCCATTTGCATGGCTTTACAGTGCAGAGAATTTCCTTGTTACTGGGGTTTTGTTTTGTTTTAAATTACTATGAAAGATTGCACATCATTTGAGAAAATAGAAAAATAATGAGTTAAATTCTATTATTGTGAGAGTATTTTGACTGACACCACAGATTCTTTCCATCAAGGTACAAGAAATTCATTTCATTTTTTAAGAAATGGAATCTAGTTCATCAGACTACTGTAATAAAGACCATGAAGAAGAAAGTTTGCTTGCAAATGTTGCTTCTTTAAGACATGAACTGAAGATAACAGAATGGAGTTTGCAGAGTTTAGGGGAAGAGTTATCCAGGTAAGTAAGTAAAATCATATGTAGACTTTAGAATATGACTTTATGAATGTAAAATGTATGAATTTCATTATTATATATTTTGTTTCTAATACATATTTAGAATAGGAAATAGTTTTTCTGTAATTTTTAAAAAAATATTTATTTTTGAGAGAGAGAGAGAGAGAGACAGAGCAAGAGCAGGGGAGGGGCAGAGAGAGAGGGAGACACAGAATCTGAAGCAGACTCCAGGCTCTAAGTTGTCAGCACAGAGCCTGACACAGGTCTGGAACTCACAGATTGCGAGAGCATGACCTGAGCCGAAGTCGGACACTTAACCGACTGATCCACCCAGGCACCCCAATTTTCTGTAATTTTTAATGTAACCCTTGGTTTAAGGAAAAAGTAGAAATATTAGGGAAGTGTTTGTACATTAAGTTGACACTTTTACTGTATTAGGACTCAGTATAAAATATATGTTTCGGGGTTAATCTTTTATTATTTTGACTTTTTTTTTTTATAAATTTTTTTTTCAACGTTTTTTATTTATTTTTGGGACAGAGAGAGACAGAGCATGAACGGGGGAGGGGCAGAGAGAGAGGGAGACACAGAATCGGAAACAGGCTCCAGGCTCCGAGCCATCAGCCCAGAGCCTGACGCGGGGCTCGAACTCACGGACTGTGAGATCGTGACCTGGCTGAAGTCGGACGCTTAACCGACTGTGCCACCCAGGCGCCCCGACTCTTTTTTTGAATCTTAAGTAATTCTAGCGTATAGTCTCTAGACTACACAGATTGTTAGTTTAAAACTAATTACACTTTATTAAGAAATTTAGTTGTGACATTGCCTTAAGTTCAGAACTGAATGTGATTTCCAGCAGCACTTCAGGTGCTTTTCTTTCTGTTTTTTTATTTGATGTATAGAAATTGGAGTGACTACTTAAATCATCTAGGAATTAAAATGTATTTTTCTTTTTTCTCTAGTGTTAGTCCAAGTGAAAATTCTGATTATACCTCTAATCTCTCAAGGTCTGAAAAACTCATCCTGGAAGATCTTTCTCTGCCTAACCAGCTTGGACTTTTGAATCACACACCTTATAAAACAGTTTGTAAAATGCCCAGTGGCCGTACTGATTTTCAAAAAAAACCAAGAGATAAGGTTATTGTTTTTAGACCTGTCTACATAAAAGTAGTTTTGGTTTTAGATCTGTCTACTTAAAATACTTTGAGTTTTTTCTTTAAATGTCTTATGTTTTCCATAGTCTTTTATCATCATGCTTAAGACTCATTGAATTTAAATGTTATGGTTCTTTTTGTGTCCTAACAAGAAAATAGTTGCTTTGGTGTGTTGCTCTATTTTTAAACTTCTATATTTATTACCTTTTTGCAATTAAATGGCTTGCTTTCCTAAGTAAATTGTAAGTCCTGTGATTTTTGGCACTATCCCATGTACGGAATAGGTAATCAGTTATTTATTCAGTGGTTAAGGTATATTTACCATATTTAGCCTGAATCAGGTGCTATATGATAACATGGTATTGTTCTCTTCATTATCCCTGAATTTTGTGGATGCTCTTCGACATCTTTACTAGTCTGGAACTCTCTCTCTCTCCATATTTCGTATTCAATCATATTGTCCATCTCACTGTGTTTACCTTTCTTCCTTACTCAACCCTTTAATCTCCCTTTCCCCTCTCTTCCTATGCTCTATTGCCTCACTGCCAGCATGCATATATAGATACAGTTGCATATGCACTTCATCATCTTTTTTTTTTTTTTTTTTAATTTTTTTTTTTTTTTCAGCGTTTATTTATTTTTGGGACAGAGAGAGACAGAGCATGAACGGGGGAGGGGCAGAGAGAGAGGGAGACACAGAATCCGAAACAGGCTCCAGGCTCTGAGCCATCAGCCCAGAGCCCGACGCGGGGCTCGAACTCACGGACCGCGAGATCGTGACCTGGCTGAAGTCGGATGCTTAACCGACTGCGCCACCCAGGCGCCCCTTCATCATCTTTTTGAATAAAAATTTGTCTTCCCACTTCAGAAAGCTAACAATTGAGATGTTTTTTCTTTTTTTTTTTTTTTACGTTTATTTAGATATTTTGAGAGAGAGAGAGAACATGCACATGCACAAGTGGGGGAGAGGCAGAGAGAGAGGGAAAGAGAAAGAATCCTAAGCAGGCTCCACACTGTCAGCGTGGAGCCCCATGTGGGGCTCAAACTCATGAACCGTGAGATCATGACCTGAGCTGAAATCAAAAGTCAGATGTTTAACTGACTGAGCTACCCAGTATGCCCCAAGAGGTTTTCTTTTTGTAAGGAAGCTACTTAATGAAGCAGTGTGAGCCAGCAATTTAGAAAATAAATTCAAATTCCATGTCTACAAAGATTATGTAATTCTGG